TCCACGTAGCTAAGTGAAATAAAAACGACATTGTTTTGGCTGAAAAATCATCTAACGGAACCTTGACAGAGGGTAAATGTGTCATATAGGTACAAGTTTTGGGTTTTTTATGTCACAAAAAAATGTTCAGGGAAAATGTATCATAGTGGGCATAGTCTGAGATTTTTGATGTCAAAAAAAAAAATTCAGGGTAAATATATCATAATGGGTATAATTTAGGGTTTTTTAGTGGCCTTTTCCCTTTCTATGTAAAAACTTCTTTCATTATTTTTCGTGGTAAATGATGAGATAAGATATATTTTATGATCATCTATAGTTTAATGCCACAACTCAGACATTTGATGAAAATAAATTTTCTTATTTTAATTGATATACTAATGTAGTGATTATTCTTTTTGAACAAAATGAAACTCCATAAAGTCAACTTCAAAAAGTTCGCTAATCAAGATTAATCGAACAATGCTGTTTAGTATTTTTCTTACAGTCAAAAACAAAAATTCTTTTTGCTGCACTTGTGTTTTTTTTTTTTTGTATTTTGATTTATTACGTGGTGCTCTTCGTTAAATGATATCGATAACAAATATTAGTCGAACTTTTAAGTTTAGTTTCACCCCTACTTTAGAGATTTCTAGCTCTCACACTGGTCGTAACCCTTATTTGGAAATCAAGTAATGGAGGTGGCTAGGCTTGGTGTGGGGTTGTGGCCCTCACGTTCACAACGACTATGGTCGTGGACTCTTGCGCGAGCGAGGTGGCGAGGGGTGGCAGCCCGAGCATTCACGATGGCTATGATCACGAACCCTCGCTTGAGTGTGATGGTGTAGGGTTGGTGATCCTCGTCAAGATCTGAGCAACAGCTGACTTCCACCTGCATTTCTCTCTCTCTCTCTCTCTCTCTCTCTCTCTCTCTCACACACACTTAGGGTGCGAATGGTAACCATTCTGCTCCAGAAATCAAATTCTTGCCAGAAATTGATTTCTGGAATTCTTGCCAGAAATTGATTTCTGGAGGAGAAATCTGTTTGATAAAACATGACTAATTCTGCTCCAGAAATTGATTTCTGGAACAGAAATCTATTTTTATTTGTTGATTTTTTTTACACCTAAAAAAATTTAAATTTTACTCAAAATGGGTGGCCACATGTATTATAAGTCATTCTGTAAAGTTTTGAAATTTTTTATTTTTTTTATTTTTTTGGGCATCTCAAAAAATTTAAATTTCACTCAAAGTGGGTAGCCACAGGTATTTTAAGACATTTTGTGAAGTTTTTGAAAATTTTTATTTTTTTATTTTTTTTATTTTTTTTGGGCACCTCAAAAAATTTAAATTTCACTCAAAGTAGGTGGCCACAGGTATTTTAAGCCATTTTGTGAAATTTTGAAAATTTTTGATTTTTTTTGGGCACCTCAAAAAATTTAAATTTCACTCAAAGTGGGTGGCCACATGTGTTTTATGCTATTTTGTGAAGTTTTGAAATTTTTGATTTTTTTTATTTTTTAAAAAATATTCACGAAATTTCATATTTTCCCGAAATCTGACTTTTTTTTTATTTTCTAGAAATTTTTATGAATTTTTCTAGAATTTTTCAATTTTTATGCATTTTCTAAAAAAAAATTTGTGAGAAAATAGGGAGAATGCATTCGGAATCAGAAGCTACAAAAAGTAGCTTCTCTTTTTCTTGCCAAAAACTCATTCGGAATCAAAAATGCGTTACGGAATCAAGAATGCGTTACGGAATCAAGTATTTTTAACAAACGCATTTTTATTCCAGGAATGCAAAAATCGCTCAGAATGCATTCGGAGATTTTTAACAAACGTCGTTACGTTCGGAATGCATTCCGGAACAAATTTTTATTCGGAATGCATTCCATGCGCACCCTTACTTTCCCTGCCTCGGGTTTTTTTTTTGCAGCCTTTTTAGTACTTCGACAAAAACACTTTTGATCTAGCTACTCATATTTGTATTATAGATCGATCAGGAATATATTTGTATCATATTTGACAAAAACACTTTTGGTCGCTTTGGTCAGTTTGTCAACCATGGAGTGAAAAGGATCTAACTTATGATTACAATGTTAACCAGACTAAAGCCGCGACCAAGTATCAATTTCAAATTACTATTCTGCCTCCCTTTAAAGGAGGATAGGTTATGATTAATCACATGGTTGGTTCTCGAACTTTTCTTCACCGTTCGATGTAGTCCCGAAACTTTTTTGTTAATCAATTTAGGCCCCGAACTTCCGAAAATTTGCTCAACGCAGTCATCCTGTGAGGTATATCGTACATTACATGGGTATTTTTTGGACATGGACTGCCACGTTATCGTTTATTAGGCCAAAATAGCGAATAGTTTTCCCAAGTCAGCAAAACTTCATGAACTCAACAAAAATTATGGCCAAGTTAGCGAACGGTGTTAGAAATTTTGATGAAAGATATGCATTTATTAGATTTTTGAAGTTCAAGGGCTAGATTGAGCAAAAAAGTTTAGACCCCGTATTAATTGAGTAAAAGCATAGAGCCACCCATGTCATCATACCATAAATTATTTATGTGTCAAATTAATAGACATGATATAACGGGTCAATCATAACATCAGTGTTATTTGAATTTTAACCAACTTTGCATTTCAGTTTAAACATAAAACAATTCTAAATGAAAAATTTTACTTTCGAAGTATTTCCAAAGTACCTCGCCCGACAAATGAGAGAATTCTCGATAATGACGAGGTTGTGCTGAAGGTCCTTCCCCTTTTGGGCCGGTTGTGGGCGAGGAGGGATTCGAACCCCCGACACCATGGTTCGTAGTCATTTGCTGTAATCCTCTGAGTTACAGGCTCCGCCATTCTTCTCTAGATCTATTCCCGGAAGTAACCCTAATTAAAAAAAAAAAAGAACCTTATCTTCGAATAGTCAAGGTTTGAATCGGTAAATCAATAGCCAGTTCAAAGGTTACACCAATCGGTCTCAGTCCTCCTCAACTAAGACAAACAACTAGTCCTTAATCGTTGAAATGTTCCCCACTTCTTGAACTGGTTGGTTTAGGTCCATTCCAATTCCAGTAGCTATATCACGTGCTGAATTCTCCAATTGATTTCACCTACATTTGACGACTCAATGACAAGCTAACCCCAATTTTTGGCACAAGTGTTCTTATCTTTGACACGCGCACATCGGACTTGAACATTCAAATGATAATCTTTGTTTTTTATTATCTCGATTTTTGCACCACCAAAGTTTGTGATGAGAGAATGTGCTGTCAATTAGCACATCTAATTGAAATGTACTTGAGTCGACTGCTCTTATTATATCATAATCTCCAAATTCATGTGCACATTCCTAATTTAGTTTCGGGCATCTACTGCTATTATGTGATCTGTTCATCGTGTCATCATCACACCCCGTACGTAACCGGCTGAAATATTTTATGATGTCTTGTAAATTTATGTAGAGATAACAGATTAAGAGCCTCCGCACAATACATTTTTGTTGTACTAAATTATAAATATTGACCGGTTAGATCTAATTATTGAATGTTGCATTATGAGCTTAGAGATTTCAGCACGACAGTTTTGAAAGGGTCACACGTTGTAGGTGTACATACACACGCATATATGTGGGTGTGTGGCAAGAAAGATGGCCAACTAGTTTTTCTCTTTTATATTATTTGTATCGTTTTCTTCTGACAAGGATGAGAAAGAAATCCTTACTTGCAAGAAAGCAAACCCATGTCTCTTTCCTCTTGGTCAGGAGTAACATCTAATGACATTCGTCATTTGAACCAAAGGATCACGTCACAAGTCCGTTTAAAGTGGATTAAGGGACAGTCCCCTTCTTAAAAGGATGAGGAACAGCAAGTGACCCCGCGAAATCTTCAATTTAAGTCATAACTACTTGGAATCATTCTCGATCTTAAAGTCTGAGGTAAGGGGGCTCAATACTGTGGTATAATTTTATCGGCTTGTTGCCGCATGAGACTCGACATGTCTCCTTACGAAAATCATCGCGTCCTTAAGTTCAAATGGTCGTGCCCTTGTGAGCACCGGACTAACTATGCTTGGAGGTACAATTGGAGACGCTTCAATTAGAAAAAAAACTAGAAGGATCATGTATTCTTCCTACTATTTTCTTTTGATTTGTGGGTTACAAGAACGGATGTCACCTCACATTTATAGTTGATTAAGTTTGCACATGAATAATATCTGTAATTTATAATCTGCCTTGTCAAAGGTATGATCGGAAAAAGTTTCCTCCAATCCAATTAGGAGGGAGGAAAACATAGCTCAAAACAGAATATAATTGGGTAGATGCGCGAACACCACATGGATGAAGGGTCACATAGGAAATTGCGTGAATTTTAAGATTGATTGTTGGTGCACATACGTGATGTATGCTACAACTTGCACATGAGATAAAACACCATAAGATGGGTGTAGGAAGATTCAAATGGCTTCGATCACTTTGGTACTTAACCTTCCATAAAAGAGACGGTTTTAGTCATAGAAACATGTTCTTGACCTCATTGAAGCCTATTGAGGCTATATCTTTCTCGAGCTATATATATATGTTTTCATTTTTAGTCGGATGAAATTTCCTCAAACCATGCTTATTATAATTGGTGGTTGCAAGTTATGAACGCCATCTATATGCACACTTAAACTAAAAATTAAAAGTGGGTGATCCGGTGTTTGTAACCCGATAGTCAGCAACATGGTTGAAGAAAATTTTCTCTAATCAAGGATGGAAAAATAGCACGACCACTTACACAATCACTTCGTGTTTTTCTTTGCCACCATTATCTATACATAGTGTATTTTCGGTTAATTAGGGTTGAAGATAGTCGAAAGGCCCAAAAACATATAGTTTGGTGTTAGGAAATATTCGAAACTAAGAAACAATATTGAACTAACCTTCCCACTTTAAAACAGTGGGCAATTAATATGATTTTCCGTCCAAGCTTCCTCTAACCCGACTTCGCTCCGCCTATAAATACCCTAACCTGAGGTCGTTTCAAGACACAAAACACAAGCCCACATGTTACCCAAAATCCTAGGCAGCTTGTTAATTTTTGAAAAATTAGTTAGCTTTGTCAAAAAAATGGCAAGCAAGATCTCTTCCCAATCCTCTTCTCAGCAACAAAGCAGCAGCACCACCACCAGCAGCACCAGCAGCAGCAGCGCATACACCGGACTAGGCAACATCATTAAGCTCCTTCCGACCGGGACCGTCTTCTTGTTCCAATTCCTCAACCCTCTTTTAACCAACAACGGCGAGTGCCACACTTATAACAAGTACCTAAGCGCCATTCTGATCGCAGTTTGCGGCATTTCGTGTATTGTGGCTAGCTTCACCGACAGCTACAAGGGGACGGATGGGTCGACCCACTATGGGTTCGCCACGGCCAAGGGCATCTGGCCTAGCACGAGCTCTGGTAGCTCCACGAACTCATCGGGGTATAAGCTTCGGTTTTCGGATTTCGTCCATGCTTTCTTGTCGGTGATTATTTTCATAGTTCTGGCGTTGTTGGACACGAACACCGTGAAATGCTTCTATCCATCTTTCGAGAATACGGAGAAGACTTTGATCATGGTTCTGCCGACCGTGATCGGCTCGATCTCGAGCACGCTGTTCACGTTGTTCCCGAGCACGCGCAATGGAGTTGGGTATCCTTCGAGCGACACTAGTACTACATCGGAGACTAGTACTACCGCATAGAGCAATGTCGAGAAAGCTTGATGACACACATAAGCACATATGCATGATCCAATGCAACCACATGCATATTTCCACGTAAATGCATCTAGGGTTTCTCATATTTGACTCGCACTGTAGTATGAATGAGTACATAATTACGATCGTACGTATTTGTTGCCGTAGGTCTTAAATGTATTGGCATATCTGATCTATTTGTAGTGGAATCCATAAATTTATTATCAATGTCTTTTGGTTAGTCTGTCATCACGAGTGGTATATCAATCATATTCAACTTCATTTATGGCACCCAAAATTTTATTTCTTCTGGAAATTAGTTCCTTTTTTAAGTTAGATAAACAAGCGAATTGGGCAGCTCAGACGCTCAGATTGGGTCAATATGGCGTTTGCGATTGTCTCAGTGCATCTAGTGCGCATCAACATTCATATTTTTGTGAAAGCTTTGGATGCTTATGATCAAGAAAAATTAAAAACAAAACAGTCAAGGTATTAAATTAATCTCAACAAGTTGACAAAACTTTCCATAAACTTTAGATGGTTTCACATCTTTCGGCATCTCTTTTTAGCCTCTCTTGACAGATCATTAAATGCTTATACAAATTTGGGGGAAAATTAAAAATCGTATTCAATTGGATCTAACGATGCACATTCATTTCAACACGTCTAACAAATTTATATAATAATTACTCATTGATGGAATAATTGTGACATCGCTGAATTAACTCACTGAGATATTATTTATTTTGGCCTGTCCCATATCATGCCTCACGGTTTTGTCCTTTGGCATACACGGTGGGCACCTTTTCAGGAAGTCACCCATCCTAGGAGTGCTTCCAACTAAGCATGCTTAACTTTGGAGTTCCAAAGGTAAGTATTGTCGTTACGTCAAAAGGCGCCTTCATGAAATTTTAAGAATCACGAAGATTAATTGTTCGTGGATTTACGCCTTAACATTCATATATCCGTGAAAGTTTGTTTTAGGTGCCTATGATTAAAAAAGTCAAAATGCGTAAACCGTCGGATTGAAAAAATGTTTAAATTCTTAACTTAAATGCGAATTATTTAAAGCATGTAAATCGACATGCAAAATCATAAATCTGTGAAATGAATTTTTAACAAATGAATCTTATGTATTTTATTTATTTTTCATGTCCAAAAGTAAATACAGTACTTCATTAGAAGAAAGCTGTGTAGCACGTATTAATTCGCTTATTTACATTTCGAAGTACTCAATAAATCTCATAAATATTTTCCTATTAAATTTAAATGGTTTTACATCTTTCGGCATCTGTTTTTAGCCTCTTGAATGATCCGCATTCATCTTAGCACATTGAACAAACTTATCTAATAGTTACTCCTTGTTGGAATAAATATCAACAACAATTTTGTCAATCAATTAGTTACCTGAGCGAGAGGGTCCAATGTTCCATAAAATATGTTTCACCCACCGGCGTGTGTGCCGCTCCGATTTTACTTAGCTCATGAGGTCGATGTGTACTTGATTTTCCTAATCGACTCAACTCTTTCACACTTTGGAGCTACAATCCTATGTACAAGTTATTAAATGTTGTTGTGGCCAATTCAAACCTAGCAAAATAACAAATTCTCAAAAAAAAAAAAAACTCATATCATGATGTTTAAAGCTAGAAAAATTTCTGAGAAAAATGGTTGTGGCCTTTGCACTTGTGGATCCTTTACACCTATCGTAGCACGGCTAAGTGGGTCGATAATCCAAATCGGGCCAATCCACAGTTTGGGCTTGGCTTGTTAATAAAAAAGTTCTCTCTGTGTTATTTGTTCTATGCACTGAATTCCAAGATTCAAACATGCGTAGTTACCAAATCATTACCATGGTTGGGAACAAAAACTGAAGAAGTTTCAGTCAAAGCTTTTGCATTCCGAACTCAATTGACGGGCTATAAATTTTAGTCTACACCGAGTTGGGAGGCCCGTAAATACTAGCTGTGAAACTACACGACTCGAGCCGAGCGTAGTCATTGGAAAGCTTATTTAAAGCCCCGATCGAATGTGGACGAGTCTCATTTTCCGCCTCTAAATTAACTTCAGACTTCGACTTGCTGGATCTTGCCAACCAATGTGCCAGCCAAAGGGCATTCTCGTCATTTACTTTTTTTAATCCTTTTTTTTCTTTCTTTTTTCATTTTTCTATTTTTTTTAGTTTTCCTTTTCTTTTTTCTTTTTCCCTTTTCCCTCCGCCGACCATCGTTGGGCCTCGTTGATGGCCGGTGGAGGTTGCCGGACGCAGGCGAGGGGCCGCCCTTGTCGGAGTTGGGTGAGGGTAGCCTTGGGCTAGTGAGGTTGAGGGTTGCCCTCGCCTCAACCAAAGAGAGGCGACCCTTGTCTGATGCTAGTGAGGGCAACCCTCGCCCTTGCCAGATCAAGTGAGAGTTGCCCTCACTAGCCCAAGCGAGGGTGAACCTTGCCCAACGCCGGTGAGGGCAACCCTCGCCCTCGCATGGGATGGTGAGGCTAACCCTCTCCCTCGCCTGAGGCCGGCAACCTCCGTTGGCCATCGACAAGGTGTGGCGATGGCCGGGGGAGGGAAAAAGAAAAAGAAAAAAGAAAAAAAAGAAAAGGAAAGTAAAAGGAAAAGAAAAGAAAAGAAAAGTAAAAAAGAATAAAAAAATATACTTATATTTTTTTGACTAAAATACCCCTTGTCAAAATAGTCACATGTTGGCCGGCCGGCCAGAAGTCCTTATTCGAGACGATTTGGCCAATTCAGTCCTTATTTGAAATAAAATCCACTTTAGGTTTTTATTTGAGAAAATGAGAGTATTTTAGCTTCTTATTTGTAATTTTTCCCTCTTTGTTTTAAAAATAGATTGCAGCCTTACCTTGTCTCCCCTTTGAGCCCCATGCAACTTTATCAAAAAAGGGCCAAAAGATCAATTGATTAATCCTTTTCTCTCTACCACCAGAAAAATATAAAACTCAAGGTTTTTACTACATGTGAGTTGTTCCAAGGTTGGTCTATATTTCACCTGAAACCAAATATGTTGGAACTGGTTCCATAAATTTTGGAAGCTAGAACTTGGAACTTACTATGTGTATTTTGAAACCTGGAACTTATCTTATCAATTGGTTTCAGGGTCTACCCGTGAACCGGCCAATTTTTTTTGTTTCATTTTTTATATTTAATTTTTAGTTAAGGAAAATGAAATGAACGCTACAATCCATAAAAGATGATCATGTAAAATAAAATAAATAATAAAAATTTCAAAACACGTAATTGCGGTTCATTGGTTCCTGGTTAGGTTCTTTGGTTCATAGTTCTTGGTTTGGTTCTTACCCAATAATTGGGAATCGAACTGCATAATACTAGTTCCACTTTTTTTGGAACTGGGTTTCGGATTGTTAACTGCGAGAACCTGGTACTGAACTCTATTTATATGGTCGGTTTGGTTCGGTTCCTGATTCTATCCCGGACCCATACTCACTCCTAGTTTTTGCTGAGCTCACCCCTTTGAATTTCATGTTGAGTGGCCATTTTCTTGTTTTAGCTATCTTCATTTTTTCGTTGTGTAAAAGCTTCTTTCAATTATTTTTTGTGATAAATGATGAGATAAGAAATATTTTATGATCATTCATAATTTAACGCGACAACTCAGACAATTGATGAGATTAAGTTTTTTTATTTTAATTGAAATACTAATGTAGTAATTTTTTTTTTGGTGACTTTGAACAAGATGGAAACTTCATGAAATGAATGAACGTAGACAAGTTCACTCAATAAGATAAACGGAGTAATGCCCTTTAGTATTTTTCTTTCGGTCAAAAGCAAAACTACTTTTCGCTACAATTTTTTTTTGTATTTTGGTTTATCACGTGGTATTCTTCCCTAAATCTGAAAATAACAAATATTAGTCGAACTTTTAAGTTGAGTACTTTGAAAATTTCACCCCCTCTTACAGAGATTTCTGGCTCTCATGCCGGTCGCGACCCCTATTTGGAGATCAAGCAAGGGTGTCTAGGCTTGGTGAGGCGTCGTCGCCCTCACATTCACAACGACTATGGTCGCGGGCTCTTGCCCGAGCAAGGTGGCGAGGGGCGAGGGGTGGCTAGCCCTCACATTCACGATGGCTATGATCGCAGACCCTCACTTGCGTGTGATGGCAGGGGTTGGTGATCCTCGTCAAGATCTAAGTGGCAGCGAACTTTCGCCCACATTCCTCTCTCTCTCTCACCCACTTTCCCCTCCTCGGGTTTTTGTTTTCCTTAGCTTTTTTTTAGCACTATGACAAAATCACTTTGGGTCTAGCTAGTCATATTTGTGTTCTAGATCGAGTAGATAGATATTAGATTCTGGATGGTTGCTTTGGTCATTTTGTCAACCATGCAGTGAAAAGGATCTAACTTATGATTACGATCTTAAAGCAGACTAAAGCGGCGACCGAGTACCAATTTCAAATTACTATTCCGTCTCCTTGTTAAAGGAGGATAGATTATGTATAATGATGTGGATGGTCTCTGAACTTTTCTTCAATGTTTAATGTGATCTCCGAATTTATTTTTAGTCAATCTAGGCCTCGAACTTCCGAAAATCCGCTCAATGTAGTCGTCCCGTTAAGTATACCACTGCATTACACGGGTCTTTTTGACGTGGATTGCCATGTCAGCGTTTATTAGACCAAAATAACGAGTCGTTTTCCCAAGTCAGCAAACTTCATGATTTCATTAAAAAAATATGGCCAAGTTAGCTAACGGCATTAGAATTTTAATGAAAGAACTGCATTCATTGGATTTTTTAAGTTCGAGGACTACATTGAGCAAAAAAGTTCAGGCCTCATATTGGACGTTGAAGAAAAGCACATAACCACCCATGTCATTGTACTGTAAATTATTGATATGTCGAATAAATGGACATGATATGACGAGTCAATCATAACGTTCGTGTGATATGAATTTTAATCAACTTTGCGTTCCAATTTAAACATAAAACCATTCTAAATGTTAAATTTTACTTTTGAAGTATTGTTGGGAAATTACTCAATCAGTTCAAAACTTATTATACATATGCCAATTCAGTTTTAAATTTTTAAATTTTGTCATTTTTTCCAATATAATCATTTCAGTCAATTTTTACCAAAAATCGCCGACACAACGGTTTAGTCATCGCCGGCCGCTCTACGTAGCACACCGCCGTGTTAGTAATTTTTAGTGAAAATTGGTCAGAAGGACTACATTAGAATTTTGCGAAAAGATTCGGGACTAAATTTTAGCAAAATTGAAAAGTTTAGGACAGAATTGATATTCGTACAATACATTTAAAATTAATTGGATGATTTCCCC